AAGAGAATTTTCGCTCGAAAGCGAACGAAGGGAAAGGGAGACGACGACGACGACGACGACGACGACGACCACGATCACGACGACCACGACAACGACGTGGAGGACGAAACGAAGGGAGAAAATGATGGCCCCGCGTGAAATAATCGCACGAGTCGCGAATAATAAATCAAACGGGTCGACTCGGCGAGCGTAATACGTTGAAAAAGGAGGGAGGAAAGGGCAAGGAAAAAGGAAGGACACGAGAAAGAAAGAGAAAGTATCTCTTTAGAATCGCGACCGTGCTGCGGCCACGTGCTTCGTGAATATAACCGACCCGTGCTCGACTTTTTTTTCATCCTTTTTCCTTTTCTATCTTCCTTCGCCTCTTCTTTCCTTTAACGCGCCACGCCATTACGTTTTTCCCCCTTTTGATCCAACTTTTTTTCGTATTTACGATATTTCTTAAATCTTGAAAAAAGTATATAGAAGAACGGTCGATGATTTCTTTGTAAAGTAATCTATAATTTTCATGTTTGAATCGATATAATGTAATTTATCGCTATTATTATTATTATTATTATTATTATTATTACAAATTCTTTTAATTTGCTTCGTTTCGTTTCTCAACTCGTTTAAAAAAAAAAAAAAATAATAATTTACTTACTTTTATCGCGTAGATCTTACAAAATCTTATTATATCCACGTTCTAAAAACACGATCAGATTTGATTCGTTACACCAACTTACTTGTACATTATTCAACTATTCACTTGGTTTAACGAAATATCGCGCACAATCACCGTTTTTTTTTTCTTTCTTTTTTTTTTTTTTTTTTTTTTTTTTTTTTTTTTTTTTTTTAAGAACAACCGTTACACTTTTATCCGTTTCGAAAAGCGCACAGCGAAGCGGCAGAATATTCCATCGGCGAGCATGCATGCACGCGAGACGGGCAAAAATATCAAGCATGGAATATGACAGACGAATTTGTACGATACCATTGTATCGGTGTTATCGCGGGGACGTGGGATGTTACGAAATAACGTACATGAAACTCGATCGAATCAGGGAGGACACACGAGCCAGAACAAAGGCGGCCATTTAATAGGAACTTGATGCATTTGAATTGCACAGAAATCGAGGCGATCCGCGCCTCGAGTGAAGTTTATTCGAAAGGCGTCGTGCCAACAGACCGGTTCTCCCACGG